TGGATGTTTTTTTATTCTCTGTCCGACACCGTCAGCAAGCGGGAGCTTTTGTGCATTTGTGCAGTTTGACCTATATCTTAAGACATTCCTGGATCGTTTACATTCAAACTGCATCATACATATTATACATATGCACATCAATATGTTTGACGATCAGATGGCCAAACTACCATTGTTTTAATTTTGAAAAATCGTAAAATCAAGCATTTCTTTCATTCTATTTCACAATGAATGCAGTTCTTTCGCCATAACTGACATTCTTTGGCTGATTGCAACGACATTGCACTTCATGTGACACTTGTTAATTACTATCAATTTGTTTCAAGTTCTGATTCAAAATGGCCCACCAGTGATGACCTCTATGAAGTACTTCCATCTTAGATCTAGCCAACTAAATGACCTCTATGAAGTACTTCCTTCCTGGATCTTGCCAATTCAATGACCACTATGAAGTACTTCCATCTTGGATCTAGCCAACTAAATGACCTCTATGAAGTACTATCATTCTGGATCTAGCCAACTAAATGACCTCTATGAAGTACTTCCATCTTGGATCTAGCCAACTAAATGACCTCTATGAAGTACTATCATCCTAGATCTAGCCAATTAAATGACTTCTGAAGTACTTCCATCTTGGATCTAGTCAACCAAATGACCTCTATGAAGTACTATCATCCTAGATCTAGCCAAATAAATGACCTCTATGAAGTACTTGCATCTAGCCAACTAAGTGACCTCTATGAAATACTATCATCCTGGATCTAGCCAATTAAATGACTTCTGAAGTACTTCCATCTTGGATCTAGCCAACCAAATGACCTCTATGAAGTACTATTATCCTGAATCTAGCCAATTAAATGGCCTCTATGAAGTACTTCCATCTTGGATCTAGCCAACTAAATGACCACTATGAAGAACTGCCATCCTGGATCTAGCCAACTAAATGACCTCTATGAAGTACTTCCATCCTGGATCTAGCCAACTAAATTACCTCTATGAAGTGCTTCCATCCTGGATCTAGCCAATTAAATGGCCTCTATGAAGTACTTGCATCTAGCCAACTAAATGAAGAACTATGAAGAACGAGCCAACTAAATGACCTCTATGAAGTACTTCCATCTTGGATCTAGCCAACTAGATGACCTCTATGAAGTACTATCATCTTGGATCTAGCCAACTAAATGACCTCTATGAAGTACTTCCATCCTGGATCTAGCCAATTAAATGATCTCTATGAAGTACTTGCATCTAGCCAACGAAATGACCTCTGAAGTACTTCCATCCTAGATCTAGCCAATTAAATAGCCTCTATGAAGTACTTCCATCCTGGATCTAGCCAACTAAATGCCCTCCATGAAGAACTGCCATCCTGGATCTAGCCAACTAAATGACCTCTATGAAGTACTTGCATCTAGCCAACTAAATGAAGAACTATGAAGAACGAGCCAACTAAATGACCTCTATGAAGTACTTCCATCTTGGATCTAGCCAACTAAATGACCTCTATGAAGTACTATCATCTTGGATCTAGCCAACTAAATGACCTCTATGAAGTACTATCATCCTGAATCTAGCCAACTAAATGACCTCTATAAAGTACTATGATCCTGGATCTAGCCAATTAAATGACCTCTGAAGTACTTCCATCCTGGATCTAGCCAATTAAATAGCCTCTATGAAGTATTTCCATCCTGGATCTAGCCAACTAAATGACCTCTATGAAGTACTTCCATCCTGGATCTAGCCAATTAAATAGCCTCTATGAAGAACTGCCATCCTGGATCTAGCCAACTAAATGACCTCTATGAAGTACTTCCATCCAGGATCTAGCCAACTAAATGACCTCTATGAAGTACTTCCATCCTGGATCTAGCCAATTAAACGGTCTCTATGAAGTACTATCAGCCTGGATCTAGCCAACTAAATGACAGTTATGAAGTAGTTTCATCGTGGATCTAGCCAATTAAATTGCTCTATGAAGTACTTCCATCCTGGATCTAGCCAACTAAATGACCTCTATGAAGAAGTGCCATCCTGGATCTAGCCAACTAAATGACCTCTATGAAGTACCACCATCCTGGATCTAGCCAATTAAATGGCCTCTATGAAGTACTTCCATCCTGGACCTAACCAACTAAATGACCTCTATGAAGTACTTCCATCCTGGATCTAGCCAATTAAATGGCCTCTATGAAGTACTTGCATCTAGCCAACTAAATGAAGAACTATGAAGAACGAGCCAACTAAATGACCTCTATGAAGTACTTCCATCCTGGATCTAGCCAACTAAATGACCTCTATGAAGTACTTCCATCTTGGATTTAGCCAACTAAATGACCTCTATGAAGTACTATCATCCTGAATCTAGCCAATTAAATGATCTCTATGAAGTACTTGCATCTAGCAACTAAATGACCTCTATAATGTACTATGATCCTGGATCTAGCCAACTAAATGACCTCTATGAAGTACTTACATCTTGGATCTAGCCAATT